GATAGAATGAATATAAAACTAATGTTCTCCCATGTAAACTATCACATAAGTCACAATAAAACATTAAAAAAAAAAGAACAAATTACTAACATTTGCAAAGACACAGAAGAATCACAAATGCATTATGCTGAGTGTAAAAGGTAAAACTCAAAAGGCTACAAATGGATCATTTCATTTACATGACATTCTAGAAAAGGCAAAACTATGAACAGATTAGAACTAGATTAGCTAGAACTGAGTGTTGAGGAGAAGTGTTGACTACAATTGTGACTAGCAGTCCAGTGCTTATCTTGTTGCACTATTAGGGCTCCTTAAATTTGCTTTCAAAAGAAAAATAAAATTGAGCTTATTTTTTAATTACTAGCTGGTCCTGGACAAGCCACTTAACACTCATTTCCCCTTATATAAAACAAATTATATTTTCTGAAAAGATTTGTAGTGAATATCAAATGAAAAAAAAACCTAGGAACTTCAAAGTACAACACAAATATTGTATACTAGGCACTATGATGAATAAGACAGAAGTACACTAAGAAACATACTGTTTAGTGGGGAAAGAGGTAAGCGATCATTATTAAGGTGTGGAAACTCAATGACAGAGGTGCTAACAAGGAGAGGCATACAAGAAGGGGAATTACAGAATGAGAATGAAAGTATCACAAAAGTAGAATAAAAGAAAACAGATCATAGTCAGGTTAATGTGAAAAGTCATTAACCAACATGGACAACTGGGATCCAATCATTTTTATCCAATGCAGACACTGACAAAGGCCCCAAATGGTAAAAATTATGACAAAATGGAAAAAAAGTACCTCACGATGATTTAGAAGCTGTTCCAAATCTAATGCCATTTGATTCTTCATCTGCAGTAAAGTTGACTTTTCTTTACTTAAATTGCTGAAAAGAAAAACAGTCTTAGAAAGTCATCGTATTGGCTCAAATTTAATTAATAGTAAATAACAAAATAGGAATCCTGATGTGGCTCTCTCGGAGAAGATCTGGATCGCTAACAGGGTTGGTGGTTTAAACCCACCAGCCACTTGTCAGAAACCTCATACAGGGTTACTATGAGTCAGAATCACCAAAACAGTAACGTGACAACAAAATAGTAAGCATTTTTAAAGGTGAATTAAAGCATCTATAGAGATATCAGAGCAGCTATTGTGGTTTCCTGGTATGGTGCTATCGGTTACTATGCTGGTTTGAACCACAAGGTCGGCAGTTGAAGCTCACCAGCCACTCCTAGGAAACCCTATACAGGGTCACTATGGGTTGGAACTGACTCAACGGCACTTAACAACAATTGTTAAACCCTATTTATTTAATGTAATTTTGTAGGAAGACTTTTTTAAAAATAAAATAATCATGACAATGGAGTTGAGATCATTTCCTGAAAATACTTTCCTCACTGTTTTGAGGAAACAGAATATAAAA